GGGGGAGAGGGAGGGGAAGCAAGCAAATGGGGAAGGTGCACCAGGGAGTCGTGGATTCTTGTGGGGAGCGTATGCGTATCTCACACAAACTCTTTGCCACTGTAAGCACACGCAAGGCGGCGCTGTTGATGACAACGATGGGCCATCCCTTTGATGAGCACCGGAAAAGACAGCGCACTACACGGGGGATCTTGAAATACGTCACAGACTTCTATCGGCAGTTATTAACGGAAGAAGAGGAATCGACACCGGCGGGACATGGCGAACGGGCTGGAGAAGGAAATATGGAAGCACGTCCGGAGCCAGCTGGACCTGGAAAGCACATGCAGAATGAAGGAGGATATCAGGGTAGAAGAGGTGGAGCCAGCAATTGCAGAGCTTCCCCGATTCAAGGCACTGGGGCTGGATGGGTGCCGCTGGAGATGTATGAGCACTTCCGTAACTTCTTCGTGACCCTGTTGACAGGGGCATGTAACGAAGCGCTCAGACATGGCTCCTTCCCACAGGGTTTCGCGGACGCATGCATAGTCCTGCTCTACAAAAAGGGGGCGAAAGAGGACGTGCAAAACTGGCGACCAATCTCCATTCTGAAAGCGATGTATAAGATTTTGGCCAAGGTGCTGGCAAATCGGCTGAAGGAAGTGCTACCTCACATCATCGACTACACCCAGACAGGGTTTGTAGCAGGCCACCAGATTCTCTCAAATGTGCTATCGGCGCAACAGACCTTGGAAGAAGACCGATGTACAGGTTGCGTTATGGTCTTTGTGTCCATAGATTTGAAAAGGCGTACGGCCGGGTCCGCTGGGAGTTCCTCCTGCAGGGGATGGCGTGGCAGGGAATAGGGGGAATCTTCTGCAGCTGGATCAGGGGCTTATTGGCGTGGACCACAACTGTGATGCAGGGGAATGGCGTCCCATCGGATAAACTGAGGATCACTAGATCAGTCAGCCAGGGATGCTCGCTCTCCCTGGCCCTTTACATCAATGCATGATATACTAAGGGCAGACGCTCGGCTGATGAGCAGACTGAAGGCAGGGCAAGGGACTGAATTGCAGTCCACTGCTTTTGCGGATGACTCGGGAGCAGTAATCCTCCCGACGGCCCAACAACTGGGAATCCTTAAGGATGTATTTTGCAAGTATTTGGGAGCAAGGGTCAACTTGGCCAAATCAAAGGCCATCCGCCTGCCGGCGGTCAATCCACCGGAAGGGTGGGACATCTCGACAGTGGTAGAAGTGGAAAGAATGGCCTTTTGGGGGGCCAATCTAACGCTGAGCTATGGGGGGCCTGAGCAGATGGCGATTCGAGCTACAGCAGCGGGGGCACGACTCAAGGCATGGAGCGCAAGAGGGAGCATGGGAGTCTTCGATAAGGCCTTGGTTATCGAGAAGACGGTCCTCGCAACGTTGTGGTACACAGGCGCCGTGCATATGCCGGGCAAACGGACCTTCCGGTATATCAAGATGACAATTCACGCGCACTTATGGTCTAACAACGTGGATGCTGAAGACTCCATTTGCAGAGTCGCTTGGAACAAGCTTATTCAGCCACGGCGGTTTGGAGGATTGGGCGTCTTGGACCTGCGGCTGCAGTTCATCACCTTGCAGCTACGGCATCCGATTTGGTATCTGCTAGGCATGGTCGGGGGGAGCTTGGCAAGAAATCACTCAGACCCACTTGGCGTACGCACTCCAGGTACCCAGGGAAGTGGCTGATCTATGCCTGGCCAGCAGCACAGCAATTGGCCACATTCGCACGGACGCTTTGTGGACCATGAAGCTGGCGCTGTGGAAAAGGACTCAGCTGAGATGTCGCCTGCCGAAAACTGCAGATGCAGTGTATAACCAGCTGCTGTTTGATAATAGATTCAGTTGTGAGGTGACCCCTGTTGCTCTCTCTCTCTCTCTCTCTCTCTCTCTCTCTCTCTCTCTCTCTCTCTCTCTCTCTCTCTCTCTCTCTCTCTCTCT